TACGACAAGTGGCCAAAGGCTTTTACTATAAGGTCTCGTCATTTAACGCTTATGACGTGAATGGATATCGCTTTCACACAACAGGCTACGAGAAGAATTGGGCCAATGCAAGGACCACGAATACCGGAGTATTTACGCCCGGAGTAGTTACGCCCGACGCTGATCAGGAGGACTATTATGGAACAGTTGAAGAAATATACGAGCTCAAATACCATGGTGAAAATGCACCTAAGCTTGTCATATTCAAATGCCAGTGGTTTAAACCTGCAGTACAGAGAAAGTCCCCTAAACTTGGAATAGTCGAAACTAGACAGGATTCCTTCTATGAAGGAGATGATGTCTATATTGTGGCTCAACAAGCCAGGCAAGTTTATTATTGTCCATATGCGTGCAAAACCGACCCACGTCTTCAGGGTTGGTATATTGTGCACAAGGTATCACCACATGGTAAATTACCTCGCCCAAACGATGATGATTACAACTTGAACCCACCCACGCATGACGGGGAGTTCTATCAACAAGACGAGGGACTACCAGGATGCTTGAGATAGACTTAACCGGGGAGATTGAAATGGAAGTAGACGAGGAATGGGTTGTTGACGAGCAAGCTGCAGATGAGGTGCATGATCCGAGAGACTTGAAAATGCTTGACGGACTACAACTAGACAGCGATGAGGATGAGGCTGTTGACTATTTGGAGGCTCTTGATAGTGATGACGATACCTATCATACAGATAATCCTGATCATGAAGAATATTAGAAATACATGTAATACTATGTTATTTTGTAATTACATTTTCTTTATTTTGCATCCCTTGCTAAGTACTTCTCGTTTATCATGACTAATAATGGTTTATTCTTTTTAATTGCAGGTGATGGGACCCACTAGGAGGAGCTGTCCCTTGACTTACTCGAGACCGAGGGACACGTCAGCGGCTGAGGAGACGGAGACGGAGCCATTAGAGAGGCAGAGGCGTCCGAGGGGTAGGTCCAGGCGGGGGGCCCCGCCGTCGACTGACCACGACCTCGGCTCCTCGCGCTCTGCTAGGGCTGACGACGTACCTCTGCCCACGGTGGGTGAGGACGCCATTCCGCAGATGTACAACAACGCCGTTCCGCACGCGTCCGAGGAGGGGGTTCCGCACACATCCGAGGAGGGGGCAGGGGGTTCGACTTCCTCTGCAGCCTCGAAACCCTATAAGCGAGGTCCCAGCCAGCTCCCGAAGCGACCGATTCTTGTTGACCGCCGCCCACTGATTGCACCCGAGGGGATAGGTAAGTAACTTCATATGTTCTTCATTTGATATGTTGAAAAATCATAATAAGAGCTAATAATAACTATTGTTAACCACTTGTGCAGGAACTGGATGCTTGTGGAGGAGGGGTCCCGCCTTAATGTCAATAGGATCCTAGGACTTCGTGGGGAACACTTCACTGGCTGGTGTGGACGCTCGGAGGATGAGGACCCAGAGATACCCTCGCTCAACCACTACGCCTCTTCCCCGCCACCAACCGGCACCTAAACTTGGTGGATCGGTGCTTACGGAGTTGTGGGTAAGCCTTTCTCGTTCTCGACCCTCAATTCATTGCATTCATTGGACATTCTTGAAATAAAATAATGGATACCTCATGTCTTTATGCAGAGACTTCTTCGATGCCACCGGGACAGGAGTTAAGGGCACATGAGGTGGTGCCGCTTCTCAGAGAAGGCGTGTCTCGGACTTGTATCACGAGTCCCGCCTCTAGGCGCACATTGACTGACTAAACGCCACCTACACCGTAATAGAAGAATGAATAGAACTCAGGCAAGAAGAGAGATAGAGATCTGACAAGGGAGCAGTGCCTACAGGTAAATAGAAAACATCTCCTATTGATCTCTTTTTAGATTAACTATGCCTAATTTGATCTTCTCGATGGCTTGTAGGTGATTCCAGCTAGTGCGCCACGCTTCCCGATTGCCGGGCTGCTATAGTGGACAAATGGTTGGACGCGATGGCGGAATATGCACCAAGAGAAAAGCGAGCACCGTATCTCGATGCTGTGTACCTCACCATCGTAAGCGATGCCGGCCTCAAAGAAATACAAAAAGACATATGTAAGTCTCCACCACTTATCTAATCTAGCCGTGCTCAATTCTGCATGATTCCTAACCACATGTTGTTGTCTTTCTCGCAGGAGGCGGCGCACGGTGGCCAGCCAATTGGCCAACTCACGGCGTATGCTCTGGCCCACATGGGCATGGCAAAGTCCAACATTGAGTACAACCCAGATGCGGGCCTAGAGGCGTACACCAACTCCAGCGTCCACACCCGCCTCAGTTCGTACATGGAGGCGTCAAGGTTAGTCCACGGGTTGGACTACGATCCGAGGACCGAGGAGCGCCTTGATCCTGAGCTAGTGATGAGGATTGGGCAAGGCAAGAAGCATGGGCGGTTTTACATGGGCGACGGCATCCTCGAGACGGGCTGTACTCCTCCTCTCAACCGCCTACGAGCAGCGAGCATGAGCTCTAGCGTGCCCATAAGCCAACGACCGACAGCGGTGGCTTCAATCCAGGTAAGTATTCCAGTTTCATTCGTCGTTCTTTCACTTTTACATTCCTTAGCTCTACATTATTGAAACATTGGGGTCAAATGTTGCAGGCCGAGCTGCAGCAACTTTGGGCTCAGCAAAAGAGTTTGCTGGCTAAGCGGGAGGCTGAGCGAGACGAGCGGGAGTCCAAGCGTCAGAGGGTACAAGCTTTGGAGGCCCAGCAAGATGGTTTGCTCAAGTTTGTGCAACAACTTGGGCAGCAACACGGTTGGGAGATCCCAGCAGAGCTGCTTGCACCACCACCACCATATCGTCGAGAGTCTACCCCGGTGAGTATGAGTACGGATGTTTTACTTTCTTTGCTCATGCTTAGTGTCAAACCTAGTGATGGCCTTCGTGCCGGATTTGTTGATGTGTCGGCATTCATGCCGGATTTGTTGATGTGTTGGCCTTCATGCCGGAAATGTGGTTGTCGGCCTTCGTGCCGACGTTTTTCTTGCAGGTTTTGGAAACCTCCCCGTGCAGGGGAGGTGCTGCCGAAATTTTCAACTTTTCTTTACACTCCTTACATTTTTATCTTGTCACTCACGTGCAATCTCCTCTCTTTTTTGTAGCATCAATCGGGGGCGGCGTCGAACCATGTCGAAGGGTCGCCGACATCGCACGTCGGGCCATCCCCACCTGGACCGTCGCCAGGATCGCACGCTGGGGCGTCCCACCCCTCACAGTCGCCGTAAGCCGCCTTCGGAGTCGTTTTTATGTATTGAACTTGTGAACTTAAAATAGTGTGTACTTTTGAACGTGTGGTTTGTAATATATTGTGAATTTCGGACAAATTTGGTCGTTTGTGATATATAAATGTGGTTTGTGACATATTGGTGTTGATTTGTGGTTTGTGATATATATATATGCTTTGTTGTTTACATGGAAAAGCAAAAAACAAAAAAAAAGAATTTTAGAGGTGGCTTCCCCGAGTGCATGTGCTATGGCACTCGGGAAAGAGGGATTTTTTTAAAAAAAATAAATTTCTTTGCCGAGTGCCTGAGCTGCGGCACTCGGCAAAGAGTATTTAAAAAAAATAAAAAATCTTTTCCGAGTGTTGCACTCGGGGAAGAAAATAAAAAAAAAAGAAAACAGCGTCGGCCGTCGGCCAACGGCGTCAAGTCTTCCCCGAGTGCCAGCACGGCACTCGGCAAAGCCTTCCCCGAGTGCACGATTTTTGACACTCGGGGAAGGCGCCTTTCCCGTGGGAGGATTAGCCGGAGGCTCTTCCCCGAGTGTTGCACTCGGGGAAGGCTTCCCCGAGTGCAACTGGCACTTGGAGAAGCCAGCAGTTCCTGTAGTGTGCGCAGGCAACCTGCTGGCGTGCTGATAGGGTGGCTGGCATATTACATTAATTGCAAAAGACATGTTTGAATGCCAAATTTCTTATAAATATGAGTATGACACATGGGACCTAGTTGTTTTTGACATAAATTCGTTCCCTCAACGTGCCAAAGAATGGAAATCTTTCCAATTCGAATGGAGGTGAATATGGTAGAGGCACTCCCCAAAACTTTGCAAGCAAAATTAACTTTTTGGGGGGGGGGGTGTTACAGTCTTTTTTTTTGGACGGTCAGGGGGGATATCTCGGGTTACTCATGCCCACAATGCAGTGAATGATTGTATTGATGGACGTGTTCTCTGGTGAACAAGTAGATGATACATGCAAGTTATCAATGTCAGCAAGCCACATCATTCACTAATTTATATTTATTTGTCCACGTAATTATACCTCACCATTCACTAGAATTCATTCGCGATGCCTGCGGCAACACAAGGGTAGATTTTGTTCCTCATGCCTGTGGCAAGCCACATCATTCATGATGCCTCCAAACTTTTCGAGTGGCGATCGATTGTGTCAATGCATTTGCAAGCATCCATTGTGAGGCTTCCCGAAGATACGGGCCAATCGTCCTCGAAATCAAGACCTAGACTTGGAGCTTCACAAGGGTAGAGTTGTTCACGAAGGTAGACGCTCCAACGTTGATGCTTATTGTATAGCTAGGAGTTATATAAACTTTTGGTAGGAATACATGTTTGGTTTGTTGCTCTTCCTGGTGGAAGTTTGTACTAGTTATCCTGATGAATAAAGAAGGGTGACACTTTGCTAAAAAAACCATAGGAAAGATATTATACCAAAAGAGTACTATTGTTTGCGAGAAACTTGTAATAAGGTGGCACCCACTAGGAGCACTATTGTTTGGGAGGAAAAAAAACATGGCGTGAGCTGCTATCATCGAGTATTCCAGTGTAGCCAGCGACTTGCAGTCAACACCGGTCACTTTCAGAGAAGAAACTTGTGGCATCATAGCAGCGTCGACCGCTGACCTGGTCCAAAAGACTGTATTTCGTATCTGTCATTTGAGGCAGGAGCCATGTCTAAGCTTCTGAAGCTGGAGTTAGAATTCGACGCACATTAATGGGACATGGCAGCGCCTGGTGGGCTCCAGCACCGCCCACAACTTTATAAAATCGAAGCACAGCGGTCATGTTACAACACAGTGGAATGGTTGGAACGTTATCAAGGAAAAGACATAAATGGTGAGGAGGAGCTGATCAAGGGTGTGTTCCAAAACGCTACTGATGCTCTCCCCACATGCCCAAAGTTCATCTTCGAAGATGAATGGGTGTTTAGGTAAAGTTTCTTTAACCATGCATAGGCGATGGATGTGTCCAAGTAAACGAGTTATGATATGAGTACTAGCAGTTATGTTTGTTTTTTTTATATACATAACAGTAAGGAGTTATGTTTTGTTCAGGGTCTTATGTTTCCGTGCACTAGTACTATTGGTTCGTGAACCATGAATGTGTTAATGCAGGCCCACGGAGGAGGAGAAGGAGCGAATGAACATGGTGTATGAAGGTGCATGGTCCTCACGTATAGATATATAATGAATTCATATAATCTCACAATCATTATCATGCCGACGAGCACCATTGAGCTTTCCTACTGAAGAGGATAGTATGATCTGGATGTATAGTTCATCAGGAAAATATACTGTACAATCTTTATATGCTGTGGTGAATTTCAGAGGGATTACTCCTGTGTTTGTCAGTTCAATCTGGAAACTACATATCCCTCCTAAAGTACAATTCTTCCTTTGGTTGCTAGCTAAGGATAAGTTGTTAACTAGGGATAACTTGGCTAAAAGAAGGGAAGTGAATGACCCTACCTGTCTTTTATGCGCTGAAAAGGAAACAATTAGTCATCTGTTCTTTGAAAAGGAAACAATTAGTCATCTGTTCCAATGGATGGTTGTCAAATAGGTTTATTGGTCTGTCTTAGTCTTGGACTTTCTTTTATGGGTTGTTTTCTTAGTTTGTGGCTGTGAGGTGCCAAGAATTGTCCTTTGAATATTGGTTATAAACCAAAATCTTGTAATAATTGGCCTGATTCTACCGCGAGGTAGATGAAGCCGGGTATGAAATATCCTTTATCTAAAAAAATCTGTTCTTTGATTGCTGCATTGCCAAATTGATTTGGCAATATGTCTCTAAGTTCTTGGATTTAAACCTGGGAATTGATTTTGAATCTGTGGCTCGTTTTTGGTTAGGTAATAAAAAACACTTAGTTACAAATGCAGTTTCAGCAGCTGTCTTATGGTCATTCTGGAAATTTCGCAATGAATTGTGCTTTCAGGGGCGTGTCTGGATGGGAATGAAGGAGGTGCTGTACAAGATCGCCAAGACGCTAGAACGTTGGGTGCCGGTGATGCAGCAAGAAGCTGGAGACGCTATCAAGAAGGTGGTCCGCGCCCTGGAGCAAGAAGCATCTCACCACTCAACTGATGTGGGACAACAGGGAGGGTTCGTCATCAAGGTCGGGTCAATTGGGTGCTCAGCGTATGGACTCCAACGTTGCAACTTTGAGTCTGAGTAGATCAGTCACAGTGCAGGCGTCGAGAGTTGCTAGTCCTTCGTTTGTTTTCTCTGGTAATGACCATGAGGTCGGAATGTAAGGTGATTCCGCCATAAGTACTGAACCTTGAACGCTTTGTATGCTTTTTGAAGTATAAAAGCAGGGGAAACCTACCTTTCTAAAAAAAATTATCATGCCGAACGAGCGAGGGCAAAGTCCCCATGACTGATCCGGTCCAGTCACCATACCTCAGCTTAATTGGATTTGACTTCACCATACCATCGTCCTGCTGCGCTGGTCACCTGATAGATAGGTGGATGTATGTCTGCTGATCACCTTCCTCCATCTAACTTGGAGAGATGTATGTATGTGCAACCTGCTTCCGGTTGCCTGCTGCTGATCACCTCATAGTCATAGGTGGCTGGCAAGCAGTGGTTTGTTGGCTTAAGAATTCTCTTGATGTTAGACATGTGGATGCTGTTATCAAGATTAATGTATAGAGGAGAACTTCGTACCCCTTGGGGTACCCGGCTACATGTTTATATAGGTGAGAAAAGCCCTCACGTGGCATATACATGGAAAGCTTATACATGGAAGTCTACAAGATATGTCTTGTGCAACAATCTACAAACTATACATGGTAAAGTTATGTAGCCGGGTATTTCTTTCCTTTAACACCCTCCCTCAATCTCAACCCGATGCCACGAGATTGAGATTGCGCCTGAATTCTGATAATTTGGACGCCACAATTGGTTTAGTGAAACCATCAGCCAGCTGATCACTTGAATTAATGAACCGAATGTCCAAGAGTTTCTCTGCTACTCTTTCTCGAACAAAATGAAAATCTATCTCAATATGCTTTGTTCGAGCATGGAACACCGGATTAGAAGCCAGATAAGTAGCGCCAATATTATCACACCACAAGCGTGCTGCTCTAGGGTGTTGTATGCGTAGCTCCTTCAAAAGTTTTTGTATCCACATCATCTCGGCCGTTGCATTGGCGAGTGCCTTGTATTCAGCTTCGGTACTAGAACGTGAGACCGTTGGTTGCTTTCTAGCTGACCAGGAGATCAAGTTAGAACCAAGAAATACTGCAAAGCCTCCTGTAGATCGACGATCATCAACATCACCAGCCCAATCTGCGTCTGTGAAGGCACTTATCAATGTGGAGGTGGACTTTCGTATACAAAGTCCAAGTGTCATTGTGCCATGAATATACCGCAGGATGTGCTTGACTGCACTCCAATGCACTGTTGTAGGGGCATGAAGGTATTGACAAACCTTGTTGACAGCATAAGAGATGTCGGGCCGTGTCAAGGTAAGGTACTGCATAGCTCCCACGATACTCCGATATCTGGTGGAATCTTCAGTGCCAAGTATAACACCCTCCCTGGCACTAAGCTTGTCAACACTAGACAGTGGAGTAGCAATAGGTTTACAAGAACCCATACCGGCCCTTCTTATAATATCAGCAGCATATTTTTGTTGAGACAGTACTAGGCCACCAGAAGACCGTTTAACTTCAATACCCAAGAAGAAATGTAGGTCACCAAGATCCTTGAGAGCAAATTCTTTCTCAAGATCTTTGAGTAATGCAGTCGTAGCTTCTGGAGAAGAACTGGCAACAATAATGTCGTCAACTTATACTAACACAAATATAGTATGCTTGCCTTGATTGTAATAAAATAGCGAGGTGTCGGCCTTAGAAGGACTGAACCCGAGAGCTTCAAGTTTGCCACAAAGTCGAGCATACCAAGCTCATGGTGCTTGTTTCAAACCATAGAGAGCTTTGTCAAGCTTACATACGAAATTTGGGTGTTTTGGATCTTCATAACCGGGTGGTTGCCTCATATAAACTTCCTCTTCAAGTATCCCGTGAAGAAAAGCATTTTGAACATCTAGCTGCCTCAATGACCATCCTCGAGAGACTGCAATGGAGAGAATAAGACGAATAGTAGCAGCCTTGACAACAGGACTAAATGTATCCTCATAATCAATACCATAACGTTGCTTGTAGCCTTTTGCAACCAATCGAGCTTTATATCTATCAATAGATCCATCATCTTTCTTCTTGATTTTATACACCCACTTGCAATCAATAATATTCTTGCCCTTTGGAGGAGGAACCAAGTGCCAAGTCTTGTTATGTAGCAAAGCTTGATGCTCATTATTCATGGCCGCAACCCACTTTTCATCATTGATAGCCTCTTGAATAGATAAAGGCTCACCTGAAATAGTTGAGGACTGCATAGCCCATCTGACGGTGCCATCAGTGTATATTTTTGGTTGCTGAATTCCTCTTTGAGATCGAGTTACTGGGCCGTGAGCTAGAGTGGAGGACGGCAACGCTGCAGCTGATGCCATGGATCCACCAGGCGCAGAGAATCCAGGCGAAAGATTTGCCTGGGAGCCCACAGTACTGCTTCCACCAGTCGCGGGATCTGTTTGTGCCGCGGTGGAGCCTGTGTGCGTTGAGAATGAAGCGGAGCCGATCGCAGAAGATCCCTGTGCCGGAGATGAGGGGGATAGCGTCCCAGCCGAAGGTGACGGAGGATCAGCTGCCGATCCCGAAGGTGATGTGGGTGCAGGAGAAGCTTCTGCCGCAGGCGGGTCGCCTTCGTGCTCCGCGCCGGTCGGTAGTTCCGTTGTATGTATGAAATAAGGCCTGTTTGACTCCGAATTTTGCTCATTTTGTATCAAATTTTCACCTGATTCATTTGTGCCATATCCTGCATCAAAGTGACAGCTTCCAGACGACAATGAATCATTAGTAGGTACGGAATTAGTAGCACAATGATCCTGCAATTTTGCATTCCCAAAACTAGCATTAGGATTAAGAAGAGTATCTGGAAGGAGATCAATTTCAGCACTAAGGCGTGCACCAGCATTTGGATGGAGTAAAGAAAAAGGAAACACACGTTCATCAAAGACCACATCTTGTGATATGTATACACGTCCAGTTGATGGTTCAAGGCACTTGAATCCTTTGTGGAGATTGCTATAACCTAAAAACACACATCTTTTGGAACGGAATGCAAGCTTGCGATTATTATATGGACGGAGATTAGGCCAAACCGCACAACCAAAAATCCGGAGGAAGGAGTAGTCAGGAGCCTTGCCAAGAAGGCGTTCATACGGTGTTTCGCCATTAATGACAGGAGATGGAAGTCTATTAATGAGAAACACAGCAGTAATAAATGCTTCATCCCAGAATTTTAGTGGCATAGAGGCATGAGCAAGGATTGAGAGACCAACCTCGACAATATGGCGATGCTTTCGTTCGGCAGAGCCGTTTTGTTGGTGGGCGTGTGGACAAGACACTTGGTGAGTAATTCCAACTCGTTGGAAAAAGGAGTTCAAGGATTGATACTCCCCTCCCCCAATCAGTTTGAATAGCACGGATTTTACAATCGAATTGGCGTTCAACAAGTTGCTGGAAATCACGGAAACGTTGGAAGACTTCGGATTTATGGCGCAGGAGATAAATCCAAGTAAATTTGCTAAAATCATCGATAAAACTCACATAATAATTGTTTCTTCCAACAGAAGTTGGAGCAGGACTCCAAACATCAGAAAAAATTAGATCCATAGGTTTAGATGAAACACTAGTGGATCTAGGATAAGGTAACTGGTGACTCTTGCCTTGTTGACATGCATCACACACGTCACTTTTATTGGACTCTTTGACAAAAGGAATTCTATGGTGATTAAGCACATGCTCAACTACATGTGTGGATGCATGACCTAATCTATAGTGCCATAGAGATGTAGGAAACTTGGAGACACCAAGTGCCTCTTTATTCTGAACCGACTTGATTGGCTTGAAAGGGTAGAGCCCTCCTTCACATCTGCCTTGATGGAGAGTCTTCCTCGTCCCCTGTTCCTTGATGAAAAATTGAGTAGGATGAAATTCTAGATAAGCATTGTTATCACATGTAAGTCGGTTAATAGAAATCAAACTTTTGTTGGCCTTTGGAACATGAAGGATATTTTTAAGATGGATGTTGCTATCTTGGGAACGCAAAATAGTAGA